TAAATGGACTTTTTGCCCAACTCAGTATTATTCAGCAACAAAAAAAGAATGAAATTCTGATACATGCTACAACATGGATGAACCTCAAATACATGGTAAGTGAAAGAAGCCAGACACAAACAGCCTCACGTTGTAGGACTCCATTTATACGACAAGTCCAGAATAGGCAAATCCGCAGACACAGAAAGTAGTTCCCAGAGGCTGGAAAAAGGTTAAGAATGGAGAGTGACTGCTTATAGGCATGAGGTTTCTTTTTGGGGTGATGAAAGTGTTCTGCAATTAGACAGTGAGGATAGGTGCATAACTGTGAACATACTAAAATCTACTGAACTGTATTCTTTAAATGAGTGAACTTCAGGGTACATGAGTTATATCTCAATACAGCTATCATTTAGAAAGGGACTGAACAAAATCATATAATGATACCTCTGTGCAGTGGTCTGGTTAAATCACTCTGCCTACCATAGGATAACTTCCTGTAAAAAACACACAATCTGTTCAAAAGAGGAAATGATTTCTTACAACAACCAACCATAAAATCAAATGCAAAGTAAAAAGAGAAAACAAAAGAGCACACCATTTACAATTCCCTGGCAGCTATGAAATGGAATTAACCAAATACTGCACAAAGAAAAATGTTTACCAGAACTGTTCACTTCCCTTTGATTACACACATATAAACAAATCAAAATCCTTATTAAATCATGAGTAAATGTGCCAGCTTCTTTATTAGCAAAGAGCAAGGAAAAACAGCATTCTCTCCTATAACAGAATTAACATCCCACAGAAGGTCTGTTTGTACTTGACTGCCATGAACCTTTCATCTCAGAGCACTGCTAAACTAAACAAGCCTACGTTGTATTGGACACAGTGAGCCAGACACCCTGGCAGGCTCCAAAATTTCATTGGTTGATGTTGAAGAACTTAGAAATAAAGATGGTACAAATGATGGTGATGATGGTGACAAAGTAGCTTTGTCTTCATTCCGTCCAACATTTCAATTATCTACAAAAACGGAACACTCTAACAACTGTGAAATCCCTTTCTCTGTCAATGTGTATAAAGGAGAGCAACAACCTTGGAGCTACAGAGATCTGGATTCAAGTCATCATTTTTTAAAACCTACTGAAGCTGCATGCCCAAGGACAAACTTCCTAACTGTGGCCTTCTATTGAGTGATTCTATCTGCCCTCTCAGAGCTGTGAGAATGAAATGAGGACATGCACACCAACAGTAGGGTCCAATGTTCAACATGTACACCCCACCATTAAAATACCCACTGTTCTGGACTCTTCAAAGCACATACTCCTTTTAGAGCTTAAATAATCATATAAGTAACTGACATCTGCCATCCTTCTTTTACCCCAAGGACATCTAAACAACGAAAAGATCCTATGAAGACTTCACATTAAATAAATTATCCCCCTTCCCATAGAACTGAAGGTAGGAAAGCCATCAAGAAAGTCTGTTTTTAAATCAGGGCATAACGCAAAGCATTCATTCATCTGAGAAGTATTTAACACCACTGAACCAAGAGAGACACACTAAGAAAAACACTTACTATTACAGAAAATGCCTATTTTTCAGTGCAATAATTGGTAACCTTTCCATAAAGACTGATGCAATCTGATTATAATTCCTGTGTCAGTAATCAGTTCTTAAAGTAAAAGAAAAAGGAAGTAGGATGATTTCAAGCACTCCAGAAAAGATGTAGGAGGATATCTTTTCTCACTGACAGCAATTAATGTTTGAGTAATGGCTGCTGGAACATTCAGACTGAAAAACATTATTACATTACTGAAATCTATTTCAAACAAAACTTATTGGGTTTAATCTACACAACCTTCACCATGAACTAGGTGTCTTCTCTGAACAAACTTTTTGGCCTGAAGGAAAAACTTGCATGAATTCCCAGATTTGTCATTACACTGCTATGATACAGAGGAAATGATGCTTTATAGCCATACTCCCATGTTGAAATCTATTTAAAGAGAGCATCTAAACTGCAGTAACAGGCAGAGTCAGACTTCTTCTGCCCAGCTCCATACACATCTCCATCATGCCACAACACTAGGCAAAGAAAGCCTCCAAGGTTAGGAGGGAAAAGTATTTCTCAAGTAGGACAGGGCAGTCAGAGGCTGGGGATATACCTAGAGAGGAACACTAAGCTCTGCACTCTTTATGGAATTTGTGGTCCAAAGCTACTGTTCTCCATCTTTTTCCTAAAACTCTATACTTGAGATTCTGACTTAGTGAGGCCTCTGTGAGAGACCAAGTCAATTACAGATACTACAGACGCCCAGTGTTGGCTTTGCCAGGGATCCATTACCTACTGTGTAAAGTGCTTAGTTTTTTTCCCTCCCTACTGCGGTTCTATACTCACAGCCTGACCACAAGATTCATCTAAATATTCTGCTACCACAAATTCTGTATATGAAGACAGAACTTCTCCTCTTTCCAACTTTCCAAACAAATAACCACTTACAGTGCCAGTCTAAACTTTAAGCTTGATGGCTGAAGTAGGAATAAACTGTTACAAATGCACAAATCCAACCCATTAAGTATGTAAGAATATCTTAAAATCTGTTTTAATACCATACAAAAAGTTTTACAAGTGCAGCTACGAGGAGAAACAATGATATAAAGTCTTAATTTTAATTGAGACTTCAGTTTAACCATTACTACTAGTAATTCCTCACCTGCCAGAAGTATTTTTGGAATTAAGGTTTTAAAGAAGGGTTTAAAGAAATTAACTTACCAGTGAAATGAAAGCTACCAATAAATAAATTCCCATAAAGCCATAGAAAAGAGATTCAAGAACCCAAAAATTTGGTTATTTTAAAACAAATACAAGATTATACCATTAGCCACAACATCAGAGGGAAAAACTCTAGGTAATCTCATTAATTTAGACTCAACTAACAAAGATTCAGTAATTTTAAGTTTGCCTACATATAACTTTGAATGACAATATTTTTTAAATAAGGAGTTGCTAAGCAAATTAAAATACAAATAAATTGCTAGGGGATTATAAATAAATTTTTAAATTTTTACATGCAAGTAACTGCTGCTGAAATACTAGTTAAAACTAGCTCATGCATTCCCTTATAAAAATCCCATATTCCAGTGGAAACAAAATGTATGAAGCAAGAGTCTACAACATTGCTAGAATGTATTAGATAATTTTTCCATCTTCTGTTTATTTTGGCTGTAAAAAAACTGGTGTAAGAGTCAGAAAAGCTTAATAGGCAGGATATGAGACAAAGATTTATAAATTCTCAATTTCTGGCAATCCATATCTCTAATTTTATTTTTATAAATGTCAAACCCTACAGTTAAAACACAACTCAGTTTCTCTCCATTATAACAATAAATTATTTGGGGGCATTCATTTTATCCTTGTCTTCAAATAACCTAACTGAAAAATACTCCCATGTCTATAATAGGAAACATACACAGGGTAACTTAGTAAGATCTAGTACCTTACCCAGTTTAGATACTACTTTGCCCTTAACAGCAACAACAAAAACAAATGAAAAAGCATTATTTAAAACCACTAATATAAGTGAATCTGAAAATAAATGAGACATAGTCCAAATCAATAGTCCAAACAAAATGTTGAAAAATGTTAGGGTTGCAAGTGTTAACTATAATTATGTACATCTACATTTATATAAATTTAAAAATCACAGGTGCTAGTTTTAATCTCCAAGAAATTTTGTTTAAAGATTTTTTTAATCATTATTCTATTACAGTTGTCCCAATTTCCCCCTTTTGCCCTCCTCTGCCCATCCCACCTCCCCACTCCCACACCACTATCCATGTTCATGGGTCATTCATACATGCTCTTTAACTAGTTCCTTCCCCTTCTTTCCACAGTTATTCTCCTCCTCTCTCCCCTCTGGTCACTGTCAGTCTGTTCCATGTTTCCATGTCTGTGGTTCTATTTTGTTCGTTAGTTTACTGGGTACATCTACGCAATGGAATACTATACAGTAGAAAGAAAGAACTCCCACCTTTTGTGACAGCATGGATGGAACTAGAGATTATGATAAGTGAAATAAACCAGTCAGTGGAAAACAAATACCACATGATCTCACCTATAAGAGGAATCTAATGAACAAAATAATCTCCAATAAATTACATTTCTTTTCCTTTATTTTTTATCCTCACTTGAGGATATGTTCATTGACTTTAGAGAGAGGAAGGTGCAGGGGAAGAGAGAGGAGGGGAAGAGGGAGGGAGGGAGGGAGAGGGAGAAACATCAACAATTGCCTTCTGTATGTGCCTTGACTGGGAATCAAACCTGCAACCTTTTGGTGTACAGGACAATGCTCTTCTCAAAAGAGAAGAGGTACCTCTTTTACATCTTAATTCAAACTTAATGACAATTATTTACTCCTTGAAAAATGGTTTGTGTGTGCCCTAGCTTTCTGGCTCAGTTAGCTGGAGCATCATCCTGTATACCGAATTCTCATTTAAGAAAAAGAAGTGTTGCTATGTCACCAGAAATGACTTCAAATCCTTCAGTTCCCTATTTTAAAAAACAAAGTCTTCACTGAATATTTTAATATATCTATATAGGTGTTTTAATATATATTTAATATATACTTATATATTAAATATATATTAAAATAAGAAATACATATTTCTTCACTGAATGTTTTAATATATATTAGTGTTTTAATATGTATTAATATATATTTAACATATACTAAATATATGTTGAATATATATATAGTCACCAAAGAGCTTATGGGTTTCCACCTACTAGGTCTCCTTCTCAGTAGCACGCTCTAAAACAAGGAGATAAGGGGAATTTAAATGATCTCATTCAAACAGCTCACATTTCTGGCATCCACCTTAAGAACCCCAGATTCCATGAACTTAAACACTCCTAAAACAATCTCCCTCTTATACCTAAAGAAAGCAGGCTGTAGAGAGGAATTAAAAACAATAATAATAAGGTTTTAAAAAAAATGAAATAATAAAAAACTTACCTCGGTCAAATATTTAATTATTTTCTTGTCTTACATTCTCTTTATTAGCACCTTTATTTTGAACCTAGAGAAGAAAAAAAAAGTGAAAATTACTTTTTATTGAACACTTCTTTATATGCCAGGAAGTGCAGTCAAACAAAGCCTCCTAGAGAACATTAAGTCAGATTAATAGGAAAGAACAAAACAGAAGTCACTAAAATGGGATAGCTGGGAAAGACAGTGAGAGTTCAAGTGTAATTAACTAACCTCTCCTACATTTCTCAAAAACTATATAAACGACTATATTCAATCAATAGGCTTCAAGTACTGAAGCAGGTGAACGGTTGGGCTGCTAGACTCAGAACGTCTGCACTGGAATCCCAGCGCTACCAACTCCCTAGCTTTTGTTACCTTGAGCAAGTCCCCACGCCTCCGTGTGCCTCATTCTCCCCATATGTGTTGTAACAGTACCCAATGCATAGAATGCTGAGGATTATATGACATAATCCACATCGGGACTGCTTGAGTTCCTGGAGTGTAATAAATGTTAAATAAATGTGAATTATTGCTTTCATATAATAATAAATGTTTGTGTCTCACTACCTGTACCATCACCATTACTATATTATTAAGAAATGGCATAATCTTGTCTTCAAGAGGCTTACAAAGTACTGGGAGAGAGAGAAGAGTTACCCAGACACACAATGTTAAGACAAAAGAAAGATCAAAGTCAATAATTACTCATTTATTTAACAACCCTGAGAGTCTATTCACTGCCAGGTGTTTTGCTGGGCATTCTTTGGTGGACAGGATGGAGAGTTTCTCTTTTCACAGCTTCCAGTCTATCAAGGGTCACGATATATAAGACAGATGAGCTATCGATCTGGGACAGCATGCATCTGAACTGGTAGAAATGGAGAGCAGACACGTACAACAGGAAACACAGGATATTTGGGTAGCCTCGTCGTTATCAAGGTGCATCCAAGAGGGCAGTAAGTTGTAAGGACAGAAAGCAGGAGAGATTACAAATGCTTTGTCTGTTCTCAAGTATGTTGATTTTTCTGCTCAGGTTGAACCACTTCAATTTTCACACCATTTATTTGTTTTAATTTCAATTCTAATATCTTTTTACTGTTTTTTAATAGTTTTGTTTTTTTCCCTTTTAAGGGTGAAAGGGGTAAGAGTAGGAGAGAAAAAAGAACAGCAACCTCAACTCATGTTGACATTAGCAGTGATGGCAGAAGTGGCATTACATGATGAGCTTTACATGTTCATTTTTAATTCTCCCAACTTTCTAACAAAGATAGAATTGTTCTTTTTATAGATTAGGAAATGAGGCTGGGAGAAGTCAAATAGATTCCCTGATGTCCACACAGCTAATAAATGCAGACACAAAATTAAACCACAAGTTTAACTGCTAAGTCTCTCTCTTAGGCAAACATGTGTATGGGATTTTGCAGAATTTAAGGCCTGTTAAAATGACTTACAAATTCTGGGTCAATTTCTGTACTTACACAGAAATAAAGAGCCTTCATACACACAGGTGTGTGTATGAAGGTACATCTCCACAGGTGTACCCCGTCTGGAAGTCCAGAATACAGTAAAGGTGTGCTATATTCTGAAATAAATGAGTAAGATAACTGGTAGTCATATGGAAAAAAACAAAATTGAATTTATATATCATCCCTGAACACCAGAATAAATTCTGAATGGCTCAAAGATTTAACTTAAATATTCAACCACAAATGTGATCAAAGAAAACAGGGACAAATTCCAAATTCATGGAGGCCTTTCTGTGATTCAATCCAGACACCATAAAAGATTAATAACTGCCTAAAATTTAAAGATACAACTTTTAAGCCTGCTTTATACCAAAATACATGAAAGTAAGTTTAAAAAATGACAACTGGGGGTAACTGAAACTCACATCACAAAGGGCTAATCTAATTTACAAGTAGAAACTGATTAGAAGCAAAGCAATCCAAAGGAAAAATGTGCAAAGGGCAGGAACAAAGAGTTCATAAAAAAAAGAATTAGAAATAGCATTTAAGTGTATAATATGATGTTCAGCCTAACTCATGATCAAAGTAATGCACATGAAAACGCCACCAAGTTGCCATTTTCACCTATCAAATTGATACACATCCAAAGGTTGGTAAATGCAGCCTACTGCAGAGACTGTGGAGAAACAGGTGCTCTAATGCATTACACAGACACCTCACATATACAAAATGATATGCGTAAGTGTTATTCATGCCAGGTTGTCTGCAATTGTTAAGAGACTGGGAAAAACTCAAATGTGCATCAGTAGGAGTGAGTTCAATGAACTACAGCACAGGCATCCATGTCTGTTTTCTATACACAAACATGGAAAGACCCCAGAGATATATTAACTAAAAAATGCAAAGTGGCAGAATAATTTACAAAGTATGCTATATTTTATATTAAAAAGGTGTGAGTGTATACATAGTATACCGATATTTGCTTCTATCTACACAAAGAAACAAGAGACTTCAATAGGAAACAAAAGAGGTTTCCCGTGGGAAGGGGGGGACAGATCAGACCAAGATAGTTGCTAGACTCCTCAAAATATTGGTTTTAATATTTAAACAATATGAACATTTTCTTTATACAAAAATAATTTTAAAGTGTTAAAAGTATACCTCATAAAAAGAGAACTACCCATAAATCAAAGCCAAAATCTAACAAGCATTTAAAAAGATTTTTCTCTGAAATTGGATATTGACAAGCAATTTAATGTGAACATCACTGAAAATTATAAAAGACAATGTAATTTTTTTCTTCAACCAAGCTAAAGTGTATGACTACAATTATTTAAGTTATTTGGAGGGGTAAAGAATTAAAAGAGAGAACAGGAAGTTGCAATGGAAAGGAAGTTTTTTTTGTTTTTGTTTTTTTTAATATATTTTATTGATTATGCTATTACAGTTGTTCTATTCCCCCTTCATTCCCCTCCACCCTGCACACCCCCTCCCCCACCATTCCCCCCTTTAGTTTATGACGTGTCTCAAGTTCTTTAGATTCTATATTTCCTGTACTCTTCTTGCCTTCCCCCTATCTATTTTCTACCTACCATCTATGCTACTTATTTTCTGTACCTTCTCCCCCCTTCTCCTTCTCCCACTCCCCTGTTGCTAACCCTCCATGTGACCTTCATTTCTATGGTTGTGCTCCTGATCTAGCTGTCCTCTTAGTTTCTTTTTGTTTTAGGTATGGTTCTTAATAACTGTGAGTTTGCTGTCCTTTCACTGTTCATATTTTTATCTTCATTTTCTTAGATAAGTCCCTTTAACATTTCATATAATAAGGGCTTAGTGATGATGAACTCCTTGAATTTGATCTTATCTGAGAAGCACTTTATCTGTCCTTTCATTCTAAATGAAAGCTTTGCTGGATACAGCAATCCTGGTTGTAGGTTTTTGGATTTCATGACTTGGAATACTTCTTTCCAGCCTCTTCTTGCTTGTAAGGTGTCTTTTGAGAAATCCGCTGACAGTCTGATGGGAACTCCTTTGTAGGTGACTGTCCCCTTAGCTCTTGCTGCTTCTAGGATTCTTTCCTCCATTTTAATTTTGGCTAATGTAATTATGATGTACCTTGGTGTGTTCCTTCTTGGGTCCAACTTCTTTGGGACTCTCTGAGCTTCCTGGATTTCCTGGAAGCCTATTTCCTTTGCCAGAATGGGGAAGTTCTCCTTTATTGTTTGTTCAAATAAGTTTTCCACTTATGCCTGTTCCTCTTCCCCTTCTGGTACACCTCTAATTCAGATGTTGGAGCATTTAAAGATGTCCTGCAGGTTCCTAAGCCTCTCCTCATTTTTTTGAATTCTTGTTTCTTCATATTTTTCTGTTTGGTGATTTTTTTCTTCCTTCTGGTCCACTCCCTTGATTTGAGTTCCAGTTTCCTTCCATCACTATTGCTTTCCTATGCATTTCCTGTCACTTCAATTAGTTTAGCCTTCATTTGTTCCTCTAATTTGTGACTAAAATCAACCAGTTCTGTGAGCATCCTGATCACCAGTGTTTTGAACTGTGCATCTGAAAGTTTGGCTATTTCTTCATCACTTAGAGTTATGGGCTCTGGGGCTTTGAGTTGTTCTTGAGCCATGTTTTGATCTGTTTGTGCTTGCTACATATGAGGAGAGAGCCTTAGGTGTTCACCAGGGTGGGGCAACCCAGTCGCTGGGTTATGATGCTGTTTGTGGGGGCGGGACCAAAGGGGGGCAATAGCAGTTCCCGCCGCTGGGGCCTGGGGGTCTGTCTCACTGCTTGCTCCTTTGCTGGTTTATCTAAGTGCGAATGTGTGACCGCGGTCAGCCCTCAGTGGGTCTGCCACCTTGCACCCTCGGTGGGTCGAAAGGTGGCAGAGCTGTTGCTACTCCACACCTGGGATCCACCCACGGCTGCCTGTGTGCCTGGGTCGCCCACCTGGGTAGGTCCGGTGGATCTTTCCTGCCCAACCCTGCTCTGCTGCTGGCTTCACCCCTCTTACCAGTCTGGCTGAAGGTTTCACTGTTGTCAGACTTCAGTATAGCTCAATTTTCTGTGTTTTGGCTGCGTATTTTATTACTAAAACTTTGTTGTCTTTAAACTTGGCTGTGCGCAAAGGCACAATGTTTCCACCTACGCCTGCATCTTGGCAGAAGTCTGGAAAGGAAGTTTTAATCTAATGCTTCTCAAAGTATGGTCCCTGTACCAGCATTATCAGCATCAACTGAAAACCTGCTGAAACGTAAATTCTCTAAACAAGAAACTCTAGGAGCAGTAGGTAGCAATCCCTATGACACACACTCAAGTTTGAGAGCCAATAATCCAATCCAATGCTTCCCACACATTCACCCCATCACTTGGAGGAGGATCATGTTAAAATGCAGATTCTGGTCTAGTAGGTCTGGGATGGACCCCAGAGTCTGCCAAGCTCCAGGATGCTGCTGTCTCAGGGGCCACACTTTGTGAACAAAACTGCAAGTTCACCTGCAGAAGAAGGTGAGCAGTCTTTGTGTAGTTGAGTCTTCTATGAAACCTGCCCTTAATATTAGATGGAAAAGGTCCTTACATGGGTTTTGTGGCTAAGAGATAACCGTGTTGCCTCTCATATAAATTCTGTAATCGGCACACAGTAAATATATTTTCAAACATTTTTCGTATTAAAACAATAACAATTATGAATTATTAAAACCCAATGTAAGGATGTCCCATTTGATAAAACTTTCATTTATAAAGTGAACCTATGAGCCTTCCAGAATGATAAAAACCAAAAAATCACATTCACACATCTGCCTGGTTGTACCATCTGATTAACTTTACCTCAAAACACATTAACCATACCATGTGTTTGCCATGAAAATCACCAAGCAGTTTGTTTCTTCTATTTACAAATACTGATTCTCCATTGTTCTATATGGAAATAATTTTTACAGGAAGTTTCTGAGTAAAGAATTATGGTTTAGAATGCAAAGACCTAGACATGTTATGTATCTTCATTTTGCAAGTCATCCCCTGGATAAAGTTTTTGGTGTTAAAAATTAATTAGCCCTGGTTGGGTGGCTCAGTAGATTGAGCACCAGACTGCAAACTGAAAAGTCACTGGTTTGATTCTAGTCAGGGCACATGCCTGGCTTGCGGGCCAGGTCCCCAAAGGCAACCCATTGATGTTTCTCTCCTTCTCCTTTCCTTCCCCTTCCCTCTCTCTGAAAATAAATATTTTTTAAGTTTAAAAAAATTAATTAATGTGCTGAAATTTCTATGTATCCCTATTTCATGGAATCTAAGATGTCATCAATTTTCAGATACACTATTGCAAGGATGTCAAACTCATTTTCACCAGGGGCCACATCAAGCCTCACTGTTGCCTTCAAAGAGCCAAATGTAATTTTAGGACAGTACAAATATAACAATGTAACTACTCCTTACCTAGTGGCAAGGAGCTTGGCAATGCCACCAGGAAGAATCAAGGTGCCAAGCCAGATAAAACAAAACAAGATGGAGGGATGGATTCGGCCCACGGGCCTCGTGTTTGCCACCTGTGCCCTATTGTTTTAGGTACTGCTAAGAAAAGTTGCCAATTAAACCATGCCAATTCTATGATACCATTCCAAATTGCTTAGATTTATAATTAAGGTTTATAGGCTTAAGATTTATAATTATAATCAGAGGTATGTGCATAATCATAACAATGTATCCCCCACACCTAAAAACTGGAAGTTTCCATATCTGTGCAAATCATATTACTTGGTTCAGTTTTGTACAGATCAATGTAAAAAGCAGTAGTAATATTTTTTAAAAAGTAGTTTCCTTTGGGAAAAAAAAGGAAGTGACCTCTTTTATCCTGGAACATGATACTACTTGTTCAAAGTAATAAAAATTAATTATGCTTAACTTGGATAATTTTCAAATGCAAAAAAATCTGATGTATCTATCTCTAGTCAATCTAAAATATATCCTTCTATTTTGATAAGTACTTACTTACATGTTTGTTTCCATAGCACTCTTCAAAAGTAACAACAAATGAATAATAAACATCTTACAGCAAGAAAGAATTCATCCATGCAACAAAAAGGAAAAATAAACTTGCTTTGTAGATTTAACAAGGCTTGAAGAAATTTACAGTATTACACTGTAGCTATATAATAGTCTGAGTTGAACACTCTTAACTCAATTTGCATTTCCCCCTAAACTGCGTGTCTGAGATTGAAGTGAAAAGACAATTTCTAACCAATCATACCAGGAGGACTGAGGACCTATGTGATTATAGGTCACTTTAATTTTCACCTTTGTACACATCTACATTTCCTAAATTCTCTAATATGGATGTTAGTATGTAGGAATAAAAGTTATTTAAAATGCGGTTATAGCCCTGGCTGGTGTAGCTCAGTGGACTGAGCACAGGCCTGTGAACCAAAAGACTGCGATTCGATTCCCCATCGGGGCACATGCCTGGGTTGCAGGCCAGTTGCCAGCAGGGGCCAGTTCCCAGCAGGGGATGCACCAGAAGCAACCATGCATTGATATTTATCTCCTCTCCTCCCCTTCTCAAAATAAGTAAATAAAATTTTTTAAAAAGCGGTTATATACAGTACTGATGTGTATTGCAATTCGGGCCTTTTTATTTATACATTATTGCTGTCACTTCCCAACTCCATTATAATCTCAAACTGCTCAATGATTCAAGAGTTTAGTTGTCAACATTTCTTTATGTACATATATAATTTTTACACTATTTTGTATTGTATTTTTTCATTACCATTTAACCCCCCTATACCTTCCACCACCTCCACCCACCCCCTTCGCTCCACAATCACCAGACTATTATCTGTGTCTATGAGTTCTTTCTCTTCTTTTTCTTTCTTTACCTCTTTTCTTTCTTCTTCTCCTTCCTTTTCTTCTTTCTTTCTGCCCCCTCTCTCTCTATCCCTCCACCCCCTCAATGTTTCTAACAAAAATTTCCATTAAACAAAGAAAAATTTTCAGAGGGACATAGGTACTAACCTTGTCTCCCACCAGAGATTAACCAATGAGTGTCAGCAGCCACCGGGCCTGATTTTTCCATATGTTACAAAAGAAGGAAACTTTCTCCTAAGAAAACTTGCTCAAGTCAGTTTCTGCCCCCCTTTCTCCAATAACTGAAAAGACAATGGAGGGTATTCATTAGAGTAGGTCTCAATGGGGCTAGTACTATATCCTAAAAAACATATTCAGTTATCAAAGTGACTGGAGATACCACTGGCATTAAGCATGTTGGGGCCAGAATGTCGGATTTCACAAGATGCATGGGACAGACCCACATAATGAAGATTCATCTCAGTCCCGAGAATCTTTTACATATCTAGTCAGATTAATCTCTGTAAAGTGGCATTACTCTAGGGTATAACACTAAAAAGTTTTTGTATTATGGGAAACCCACGGTAATTTAGGAGGAAATAACTAATGTGAAGAATGTTGAGATAAAATAACTAATCTTTGAACATTAGTGACCATTTTCCTCATGTCACATATTGTTAACTCAACACATAACTGCAGTGTCATAAAACTGAGCATATTTAAACCAGTAATTGAGATATCGGCACTGAATCTTTATTTATTATTTTTTAAATTTAATTTTATTTATTTTTATTGATTATGCCATTACAGTTGTTCTATTCCCCCCTTCATTCCCCTCCACCCTACCCCCCCCCCCCCCCCCTTTAGTTTATGACCATGTGTCTCAAATTCTTTAGATTCTATATTTCCCATACTATTCTTCCCCCCCCATTTTCTATCTACTATCTATGCTACTTATTTTCTGTACCTTCTCCCCCATTCTCCTCCTCCCACTCCCCTGTTGCTAACCCTCCACGTGATCTTCATTTCTATGTTTCCACTTCTGATCTAGCTGTCCTCTTAGTTTGATTTTGTTTTAGGTGCGGTTGTTAATAATTGTGAGTGTGCTGTCCTTTCACTGTTCATGTTTCTTTAACTTCTTTTTCTTAGATAAGTCCCTTTAACATATCATATAATAGGGCTTGGTGATGATGAACTCCTTGAATTTGATCTTATCTGAGAAGCACTTTATCTGCCCTTCCATTCTAAATGAAAGTTTTGCTGGATAGAGTAATCTTGGTTGTAGGTCTTTGGATTTCATGATTTGGAATACTTCTTTCCAGCCCCTTCTTGCCTGTAAGGTCTCTTTTGAGAAATCAGCTGACAATCTGATGGGGACTCCTTTGTAGGTGACTGTCCTCTTATCTCTTGCTGCTTCTAGGAATCTCTCCTTCATTTTAATCTTGGCTAATATAATGATGATGTGCCTTGGTGTGTTCCTTCTTGGGTCCAACTTCTTTGGGACTCTCTGAGCTTCCTGGATTTCCTGGAAGCCTATTTCCTTTGCTAGATTGGGGAAATTCTCCTTTATTATTTGTTCAAATAAGTTTTCCACTGGTGGCTGTTCCTTTCCCCCTTCTGGTACCCCTATAATTCGGATGTTGGAGTGTTTAAAGATGTCCTAGGGGTTCCTAAGACTCTCCTCATTTTCTTGAATTCTTGCTTCTTCACTCTTTTCTGTTTGGCCATTATTTGCTTTCTTCTGGTCCACTCCATTGATTTGAGTCCCAGTTTCCTTTTCATCCCTATTGGTTTCCTGTGCAATTCCATTCATTTCAATTAGTTTCGCCTTCATGTGTTTGTCTAATTTGTGGCTATAATCAACCAGTTCTGTGAGGATCCTGATGACCAGTGTTTTAAACTGTGCGTCTGAGAGTTTTGCTATTTCTTCATCGCTTAGATTTATAGGCTCTGGGGCTTTGAGATCTTCTTGAACCATTTTTGGTCTGTTCTCGCCCGTTAAGTACGAGGAGCGGAGCCTTGGACTCTCAGGTCGCTGGGTTGTGACGCTGTATGTGGGGTGTGGTCAGAGTGGGAAAATGGCGACCCTGTCTGCTGTTTCACACAGCTGGGTGAGAAGCAGAGCCTTAGGTGGTTCACCAGGGTAGGGCCACTCAGGTCACTGGGTTATGACGCTTTATGTGGAGGCGGGGTCAGAGCGGGGGAAATGGCCTCGCCCTCTGCTGCCACTTGCCGCTGGGGCCTGCTGGGTCCCCTCTAACCGCCCACTCCCTGGCTGTTCTATCTGCACCCAAATGCTTGACCACAGTCAAATCTCAGCCCTGCTTCCTCGCTGGTTCCTCGAGGTCACTCGGTGGGTCGCTCACTAGGTCCACCCATTGCAACCCTGCGCCTGGGTTCAGCGTGCCTGAGTCCATCTGACCGAGTTTTCCTGTGCAACCCCGCTCCGCCAGCTGCTGGTTTCACCCCTCTTACCGGTCAGGCTGAAGAATTTGTTGTTATCAGACTTCCGAAAAGTTCAATTTTCTGTGTTCTGGCTGTGTTTTCTGTTGCTAATATTTAGTTGACTCTAAACTTGGTTGTGTGAGAAAGCAAGGCATCTCTACCTATGCCTCCATCTTGGCAGAAGTCCCCGACACTGAATCTTTAAATCTCAATCTTGTTATTTTATTCACTATTATCAGTAAGTGGCAGTACCTTAAAGCTTTCGACACAAAAGGTACTGTACAAAGTAATTTGAAAATATGGCATCCACCATACCAATGGTGGATGATTAACGGAAGGCGTTACATTAATGTCATTTATGCGTTGATTGAGATAGTCTGTAATTTTTATCTTGACATCCTGGCATTTTATCTCTAATTTAATGTAAGCTATTTATTATCATAAACAGGCTATCCCAACACTCAGGTGTACCCCCGTACACACACTCACACACAGTGTCCATCCATACCTCTGGCCCTTCTTTATCTTGTTAGAAATACCTAATATTTTTTATCACTCTTTAATCCAAGTGCATTCATTTGAAGCAGGTGCAAGCACCCAGGCACTTGCTCTCTTTCCCACAGTGTGTGCTACAATGCATGTCATACATTGTTCTACATTTAGTTCTCCCTTGCATTTAATCTGGAACATCGTACTGATCATATGTACTTCATGATAAATTTTATTTCAGGGCCGTAAAGTAGGCTTTATAAACGCTTGCTGCAAAGGGAAAGGGCCTTAGTTCTGACAAGTTTGAGCACCACTGCTCCAAAGAGTGCAATCACATGCTTGACAAAAGTCAAACTTAAAAGTTTCCTTCCCCTAACTAAGGAAGCCCAGGGCTCCAATATTCCAGTTCCATTCGACCTGGCACACCGCTATTTTAAGTCCACTTCTGCTCTCTCACGGAGCCGAACAACAGTTCTGAACTATTTCTGGATCAAGGACCCTTTGGGGAATTTGACAAAAGCCAAGGACCATCTCCCAACAATTCATATACCACGCTGCATTCAACGCTGGGGCGGGTAGGGACTTCCAGACACACCCTCTGCAGCCCAACGGGGATCCGAGGAACAGAACTAGAGCCTTAAAGCTCTGTGAGTGGGGGTGGGGAGAAGGATGGGAGGCGAGGATGGGAGTGGGCGCGGGAGTCAACAGGCCTGCTTTTGAACCCCCATTCCGCCCCTTCCCAGCAGTGTTAACTTTCGGCAGGGCGCTTCACCTCTCCCAGACGCACGGGAGTGGAACCGCGCAAGTGCCGAGCGTACAGTAAAGGCTCAAATGGTGTTGCCGCAGCCAGCAGCACCACGTCCTTGGAGCCATCCCGCAGCCGGAGGAAACTGAGGCTGACCCCGGGGTCTCACCGGAGCGCAGGAACTGCCTGCTGGGGGATCGGCCTTGGAGCCCCGGCCCTACCGCCCCGCCCCGTCCGCGCGGGTCCCGGGACGGGGCGGACCCGGCGGCTCCGCTGCAACCGCGGGGCGAGCTGGGACCGCAGCCCAGGACGCGGGCCGCCGCCCAACCCGCTCCCCCGTCCGGCGTTTGGTCTGCGCCGCTCTCACCCCCTCCTCTGCCCCCAACGGCCGCCACAGTGGCCCGCAGCTCACCTCTCCGGCCGCTGCTGCCGCTGCTGCCGTCGCCGCCGTCGCCACCGCCGCCGCGCGGGATCTCGCGAGACTTCGCTCCCTTCGGCGCACCCCCGCCCTCCCGCGGCGCTGGCGGACCCCGGACTGGAATAGAGTCCACGCGCTCTCTGTAAGCAGCCCTAGTTTCAGCGACAGTCCTAGCGGTGCTCTGGCTTCTGCGTCCCCCTTGCTATATCCATTTCGCCCACTTCCATGAGCGTGAGGGTTAAAAGCCAGGTGCAAGACTGCCACCTCCCTCTCACCTGGCCGGCCAGTACGCGCGCGCATGCGCACGCTTGAAGTCCTGGACCTGAGAGCCTTTGCAAAGACACTGACCTTAGCGACAATAATCCCACCAGCCGGTCTGGCAGTGCATACTGTGCACCGAGTACTTTTACCACCCACCTCGGGTAGTCACAATAGCCCCCAGGAATGAAGATTACTATACTCTCCATTCCAGAGAGGAAGCAACAGAAACTTGACAAGGTTGTCCCTATCTCCAGGACACACTGCTAGGAATTGGCACATGGGGTTGTCTGATTCTCAAGTTAAAGCCTCATTTTTCCCCTGCTCTGAACCACTCCCTCCCCGCCCCCCGCCCCCCCAGCCCTGACCTTGCCCCAACTCTTGCTGAGGGAGACCAGTCTCAGCGCCAGTCTTTATTTCCCTCCTAAACTTCACCAAGGTGAGAGGAGGCCCTCCTGGGCGATGGGTTGCTACAATCCCTCTGGGGGTTTTTGGAGCTGCTGGTCAGGAAAATACTTCTCCCACATTACATGACGTTTCTAAGGACTTCCTGTTCCAGACCCTTTACATGGCTCTGAAAGCTATGTGAATATATTCTGTTCTATCTCCTCTTCACACTGGTGGTGTTTTGATGGTGGTAGCATAGTCGTTCTACGGGACACGGGACATAGAACCAAAGTGCACATATTAAGGGCACAGAGAACCATGTGACTTTTTCCTAAGGGTAAAATCTTAACATTATAAGCAGTAGTTTCCCCTTATCCAGGGTTTCGCTCACTGCAGTTTCAGTTACCCATGGTCAACCACAGTCCGAAAATATTAAATGGAAAATTCCAGAAATAAACAATTCGTAAGTTTTAAATTGCGGCCGTTCTGAGTAGTGTGATGAAATCCAGAGCCTGCCCGTTCTGTCCCGACCAGGACATGAATCATCCCTCTGTCCAGTGCATCCATGCTGTATATGCTCCCCTTCTGTTAGTCACTTAGTAGCTGCCTCCATGATCTCATCAGCTGCCTGGGGGTCCTAGTGCTCGTGTTCAAGTAACCTTTTCTTCATAGCTATGTACGTGTAGAAATGCATAGTATGTCTAGAGTTCAATACTGTCTGAGGTATCAGGCATCCACTGGGGTCTTGAAACATATTTCCTGGGAATAAAGGGGGACTCCTCTTATTGTTTCTAAAGAAGAGGGGCTAACCATGGTTGCCCTTCAGTTGGCTGGAGTGTCATCCTGTGCACCAAAAGTTTGTCGGTTCAATCCCCAGTCAGGGCACATACCTAGACTGCGGGTTCAATCCCTGGGGTTGCATATAGGAGGCAAGTAATCGATGTTTCTCTCTCTCGCCCTTTCTTTTTCTCTAAAATCAATAAGTGTGTTTTGGGGTGAGGATTAAATAATAACAATAAAGAAGGGCTAGCACTTATTGAGGGCATTTCAAGGTCACCACCAATAGTCTTCCAAGTTAATTCATAGCAAAATGGAGACTTAGGGAGATAAAGAAACTGGCCTAAGGTTCTGTAATGAGATAGGATTTGAACCTGGGTCTGAGTTTAGAGCCACGTGCTGCCTTGTGCTCAAGTCCCACGAGCTTGCCTGATCTAGCTGGTCTGGGCCAACCAATAAAATCAAGAGCCTTGCAGGTTGTAGCCAACCCTTCACCATGCATCAGAGCCTTACCCAGCCCTCCTGAAAGTCATGTCAATGTCAGCAAATATAGGCCTGCCCACCCTCCAAGCCTGCCCACTCCCTCCAGAAACAATGCCACTCTCAAAGGTCATAGATGTCCTTCCATGTGCCAACATTACTCAAACCACTCGTGGAGGAAGTGAGAGAGGAAAGGAAGTCACATCTGATGGGCAGTAGCAAGGTACCAAATACTACTCCAGGTGCTATCCATTCATTTAGGCCTCCCAGCAATACCATGTGAAAGCTATGATTGTACCCATTTTAAAGTTAAGAAAAGCAAGGAACTGAGAGGGGAGAAAACTTGCCAAGGCTACACAGTTGGTAAGTGGGAGGGCTGGGGTTCTACCCCAGGACAGTCTGTCACCAAAACCACATACTGTGACCTCAGTGACAAACAAGATTCTTCCCTGCTCCCCAAAGTCTATGTCTTTGTGAAACCGAAAGCCTAAAAATCCCATGAGCCTAAGATACTGTGTATTGTTTTCTGGGTAGACCATGCCTCAATATTCTCATCTAAAATAAAGATAAAAATGAGTTGTTGGGAGGATTAACCGAGTTAATATTTGTGAAGCATGTACTAAAGTGCCTCACACAAATTAAACTCTCAATAAATTATAGCTATGAGTATCATGGGGATGTCTGTGGTATGTTATTCTTCCCCCATCCCTCAGTATAAACTCCAAATCACTTTGGAGAGATGCGACCTTATCTACTCTGGCATAGGAATAAAATTAGTTCCTGGCCTACTGGAAAAAATAAATGCTCTTGAATGGACAAAATGACTCCTGTACTTCCCCCTGATAGTGGAGAGAAACTAGACTCTTTTGAAGCTTTTCTCAGTTCCCTGGGAGACTGACAGTTGGTTTTATAAAAGGCTCCCCTTGTATAGGGAAAGTCACCCAGATATATTTAAGTTGTTGGAAAAAAAACAAAACAAAACAGAAAAACCGCTAAAAATTTTGAGACTTTTGGCAAGGCTGAGGGTTAATATAACTACAGTGATATCATGATTGGCAGGAAGGCTTTAATAGGAACCGAAGCTGCCGCCACCCTCAGGACATGGTACCCCAAAGTAAAGTCACTACCCTGACAAAAGCCACACCACACATTCCCACCACTGGCAGTGTGGAATGATCCTCACCATGGGCAGGGTGGACATGACAAGATCTACTGAAGATCTGTTGTAGTTTGAGAGCAAAACAAAGCAACCAGGTGATTCTAATATGCATATCTCTAAAGGCTTGATGTACATTTCCCAAGAAGCACTAATGAAATATCTTTTGATCCGAGGGGAATTTTATAAATGCCTATAATGGATTCATTTAATGCTCATTTGTTCATTAAAAACATATTAAGCACTTAAGTGCCAGTTGCTGTCTGAGTAACTCTGAGTAAGACAGACCATCGTCCAGGCTGTCATTGCATTTATGTCCTGGAAGGAGAGAGAGGTGCTAATTAAATAATTGACCCAATAAAGTGTTGAAATGTTATGTGGTAAATAGAATGCCAAAGAAGAGCAAATGACCCCTCCCCTGACAAAAAGTCTGGGTGGAAGGGTAGGAAGTAACTTGTTTGAATTAAGTTCTGAAGGATGCATTAGAGTGAACTAGGCAAGGAGGAGAGGGGAGAACATTCCCGAGATAGGGATGGGCATGGATCGGCAAGGAGAACGTAAGTGTTGGCAGCTGGGAAGACAGGAGGGTGGCAGGGCCTCTAGAGGCATCTCAGACATGTGTGCACCCTGAGGACATGGGAGGAGAGGAGAGAACCCAACTGGAGGCAGAAGAATGTCACGAGAAGTGCCGTTGGTCCCCACATACCCATTCCAGCCAATCCAAGCTCATATTGGACTCCTACCACTTCTGTCCCACCAGTGCTTGGTCAAGGATGACACAGCTGTCATATCTCTAGCCGATCTGTATTTGAGGAAATCGAACATTATAAAGTCCCAGCACCCCAAAACAGAAATCCAGCTGCAGATGTCTTGCCTCCCTTCCAACTAGGATAAGGAAAATGACATAGGCTCCACCAGCCACACGTACCACGTGAGACTGAATGTGGTCATGAGCTGTGTTCTGTTGAGTGGCCAGCAGCCAAAGCAGTCAGCTTTGGGGACGGTGGTTGCAGAGTGGAGCTCCCGATGGAGAAGCTGCACCAGTGCTGATGGCAGTGGTGGCTGTGGTGAGAGCAGACTCAGGCAGGGTGGCAGCTAGCTCATGGGGCCACGCCTGCTGTGTGGTTTGGGGCATTTTTCCTAGAAGCTTAGCCTCAAGTTCCTTTCTCCAGCCTTCACGATGATTCTGTGGGATACCCAACATCCTATATTACATTCTCCTTTCTACCTAAACCAGCTAGCATTTCCACCAAGAATGCTGACCCCTCACAGGTCCAAGCCAATTGGAGCCAACGAGACTCAGAGAGAGGTTTGCTAAGAATAGAGGCCTGGGGAAGTTTCTCTGCTGTAAGAGAGAGCCTGAGGAAGCCAGCTCCCTCTCCCTGCCTGACATGGACCTCAGCCACCACCAGTGGCTCTCTCTGCAACTCTGGGATAAGATAGGGGCTGCATGGCACAGAGAACAACAGAGAAAACAAAAGATCCTGTGTCCTTAACTACATCAGCATGCTGCTGGACTGACCCTAGACCTCCAAGGCCCTGGATGTCCCTGAGCTAATGCTGTGGTTAGTCAACTTGACTTGGCTTCTCTGTTCCTTGCAGTCCAAACATTCTTACTAGTGCAGGGAGCAAGGGATCAACTTATGAAGAACAGGCATGTATCTTCCCTGGCTGTGTCAGGAGCCACCCCAAATCCTAGGTAATCGTTTACGTCTAACCTCATCCCCCCGCCACACTCCCACCCCAATATCAATACCACTCAAGTAAGCCCTGCCTGACTTCAAACACTGCTTTCAAGAAAACACACCCTGCCCTGACCAGTGTGGCTCAGTGAGTTGGGTATCATCCCACAAAATAAAAGTTCGCCAGTTCAATTCCTGCACATGCCTGACTTATGACCCCGTCTCCGACCAGAGCGCATGTGAGAGGCAACCAACAGATGTTTCTCTCACACATTGATGTTTCTTCCCCTTTCTTTCTACCTCCATTCCCCCTCTCTAAAAATAAATAAATAAAATCTTTTAAAAGAGAAAGGAAGAAAACTTATCCTTCCTTAGCTCTTCCCATCTTTCGACCATTTCTTTGATGGACACAATGTGCTTCTGTTACTTGCTCAGCTCACACATCTGGTAAGTGGCAGAGCTGAAGGTCTGGAGGCAATCCAGATTCCAAGCTTTTAGCCACTAATTTG